CCCAAAGGGGCTTTTTCCAGGAGGCAACTGGACTTCCTTGTTTTTTCTTTGAAGACGTTTCGCTTCTCATCCCAGAAGCTTCTTCAGCTCTGACTGGATGGTGGGGGAACGGAAAGATTTATACTCCTTGCAGAGAGCTGGTCATTTGCATTTTTTTAGAGAGTCGTTGAGGCCACTTGGAGGTTTGTCTGTGTCCCCAGGGTCACCTGAGTGGTGCAAATGGGTGTGGAGCCTTCTTGGTTGCAGGATGTTTTTCTGCCCTGGGTCCCTTCACGGTTGAAGATGGGCGCAGGCAGTTGGGGATGAGTCCGTGTTGTCTGCACCTCAAACTGAAGGGCAAATGGTTCCTGTAGTCTGCAATGTTTTCTGGAAATCCGTTCCTAAGTCCGGTTGCTTCCTTGAAAAAGCATCTTTGGGACAGCCATGACCTGGATGACTGAGACTCTCCATAGACTGCTTCCCAGGACTTTTTTTTCCCTGGTTTCTTGGACTTTCTTCCCCAGGGCTTCTTCCCTTGCAACACGCCGTCTTCAAGCCTTCTCGGCTGGGCTGGTCTTTTTGATTGCAGAGCGGCCGAGAGCCTTCGGCAGTAGGCGAAATAATAGGCTAGATGAGTGAAATTTCATTTCAGGTCGTGCTTCAGGGGCTGGTGTAAAAACTTGCTTTGCTTTGCTTCTGTGACCCTGTTCGTTAGGTTTCTCCCCCACCCCCCCAATTATCACCCTTTCCCTGGTACACATGTTGCAGCATTCTGTAACACCTGCCTATCAATCTGAAATTTTGCAATGTAATATCTGTGCTGTGTCATATCTAATATGCTTAACGTGTATATATACTGCTCAAAAAAATAAAGGGAACATTTTACCATGGAACTGAAGGGGTTTGCGTTCCCTTTATTTTTGTGAGCAGTATATTTTAGCAAGATGGAAATCCAAATGAACCTTAAACACTTACAGCAATGATTTTTTTAAAAAAACAACAAAAGTTTTGGGCATTTGTAAAATGTAAAAATGGCATTTATATTTTCCAGACTTAAGGTGCGTGCCTAATTATTACTGGTCCTTATCCGGATGGAGAACTAACTGTTCCCCTAGAACAGTGGTGGCAAACCTATGGCATGCGTGCCAGAAGCGGCACTCCGAGCCCTCTCTGTGGGCACGCACGCCATGCCCCGAAGATGGCAACCGTCCCTCTTCAATCGGCTGCCCGCTAACTCGCTGAAGTCCCATATGGCCGGATGTATCCCAGCACCCATGCGCTCACTGGCCTCTGTGTGCGGGGGCCGATGGTGTCAGGCAGCAGCCGCCCCGGCCCCTGCCTCACCTTGCCCTGTGACAATGGCACCCCCGCCCTGCCTCGCCTCACCCCGCAGGACGAGCCTCCTGCCCACCGCCCCACCCGCTGGAGACCCCTTGGATCTCCCCCAACCCTGCCCGGCCCCCACAGGCATCCCTCCCCACGAGCAACATCGAGCTGGCCACGCCCACCCTGGCCACGCGCCCACCTGGCACCCGGCGATAAATAAGTGGGTTTTGGGTTGCAGTTTGGGCACTCGGTCTCTAAAAGGTTCGCCGTCACTGCCCAAGAATCATAGCTGTGGTCTAAACGGCCTTTGATCTCTGCCTTCCTTTGGCAATGCTCAATAAAGCCCTTTGATGATGGCTCACAGGTGTGGTGCGTTCCTTGAACTCGTTTCCCGAGTTCACCCAGGCTCCTTCACAAGTCTTGCCAGCCCTATTTGACCTGCCCAGAGATTGCCACTGCTCCAGGCTACCTGGGTGGACTCAGCTCCAGAATTCCACTGATCTTCAAATTGGGAAATTCTGAGGAAGGAAGGAAGGAAGGGAGGAAGGAGAGGGAGGGAGGGGAAGAAAGAAAAGGGAGGTAGAGAGCGAAAGAAAGAAGGAAAGAAAAGAGGGAGTGAAGGAAGGGAGGAAAAAAGAACTGGAAGGTAGGGAGGGACATGGGAAGGAGGGAGGGGCAGCAAGGGAAGGAACGAAGGAAGGAAAAGAGGGAGAGAGCAAAAGAAGGAAGGAAAGAAGGAAAAAAAGGGAAAGAAGGAAAAAAGAGATGAGGGAGGGGGTGAGAGGGAGAGGGGTAGAAAGGGAAGGAAAGAAAGAAAAGGGAGAGCAAAAAGAAAAGGAAGGAAGGGAAGGAAAGTGGGAGGGAAGGAAAGAAGGAAGGAGAAAAAGGAGGGAGGGTTAGAAAGGGAAGGAAAAGAGGGAGAGAGCAAAAGAAAGAAGGAAGGAAAGAAAAGGGAGGGAGAGCAAAAGAAAAGGAAGGAAGGGAAGGAAAGAGAAAAGAAAAGGGAGGGAGGGTTAGAAACGGAAGGAAGGAAAGAAGAGGGAGAGAGCAAAAGAAAGAAGGAAGGAAAGAAAAGAGGGAGAGCAAAAGAAAAGGAAGGAAGGGAAGGAAAGGGAGGGAAGGAAAGAGAAAAGAAAAAGGAGGGAGAGTTAGAAAGGGAAGGAAGGAAGGAAAAGGGAGGAAGAGAGCAAAAAAAAGGAAGGAAAGAAAAGGGAGGGAGAGCAAAAGAAAAGGAAGGAAGGGAAGGGAAGAGGGAGGGAAGGAAAGAGAAAAGAAAAGGGAGAGAGGGTTAGAAAGGGAAGGAAGGAAGGAAAAGGGAGGGAGTAAAAGAAAGAAGGAAAGAAAAAAAGGAAGGAAGGAAGGAAAGAAAGAAAGAAACTGACCAGGCGACTTTTTCTGCTTCTGCCTTTCCTTCCTCCACTCTTTCCTGGGGGTTCCTCCTGCTTCCCTTTGGTGGTCTCGACTCGGCTGCTCGGAGCTCCACCAGGTGGCTGCTGCTTTTCCATTTTCAAGCCTCAGGTGTAGAAAACCCCGGAACGGCGACGTGCTTCTCCCGGAGGAAAAGACAAGACAAGGGGCGTAACAATTGGCCCTGGTGGGAATAGATGAAGCCCCCTCGAAGCCAACTCAGGGGCACCGATAGACTCCCTGCTGTCGGCCGCCTAGCCAAGGAGACGTTCCTGTGGGGGAGAGACCGAGCTGTCTCTTTCCCTCTTGGGATAACCGATTCGATAACGCCAGCCAAAGGATTTGTGGCGCAGGCAGTCCCCGACTTACGGCAGTTCGTTTAGTGACCGTCCAAAGCTGCAACGGCACTAGGAAATGTGACCCGGGACCGTTTTTCACACTGAACGGGGACCTTTGCAGCGTCCCCGTGGTCGCCTGATCCAAAGTCAGACGCTTGGCGACGGGTCTGTATTTATGACGGTCGCAGCGTCCCCGGGGAGTCCCGTGTTCCCTTTTGCGACCTTCCGACATGCAGAGTCAATGGGGGGGGAAGCCACCTCCACTTAACAGCCGTGTTCCTAACCTACCCACTGCAGTAATTCCCTTTACCACCGTGGCGAGAAAGTTCGTAAAAGGGGGGCAAAACTCATGTAATAAAGGTCTCACCCAACAGCAGGAATTTTGGGCTCATTTGTGGCCGTTAAGTCGAGGACTACCTGCATTAAACGGCTGGGAAGCCTGTGGAACATGGTTTATGGAGTTCCTGCCAACCCCATTTCCTACTGTTAGCGGACATAATAGGGGGCTGTTGCCAACTTTCTCCGACGCTCCCAAACTAATTACCCCACACAGATGTGTGGAGCAATTTTTTTCAGAATATTTCCCCCCCCCCTCTTCCGTAATGAATTCCCTGCACGGATGTATTCACTTACATCGAATAATCAGAAATATTTTGCTGGTTTTCAGTCTATATATATAATAATAATAATAATAATAATAATAATAATAATAATAATAATAATAATAATAATAATAATAATAATAGTAAAGTTGGAAGGGACCTTGAAGGTCATCTAGTCCAACCCCCTGCTCAGGCAGGAAACCCTATACCATTTCGGACAAATGGCTGTCCAGTCTCTTCTTAAAAACTTCCAGTGTTGGAGCATTCACCG